GTCAGCTGAGGTCACTCCCCCCCAGGGCAGTACAGGTGCTTTCCTACTTGACTCCAGTTTTGACTTTGGCTCATTCTCCGGCATCAGATTCTTTGCTTCCCCTGATGCTTATGGGTAAAAATAATACGAAGCCAAAAGCCACCTGAAAGGACACAGTGCTCTTTCAAGACACCACTCATAGATCAATGTGTCTTCAAGCCTTAGGAGAAAGCCCTCAGCACAGCAATCCCAAGGATAGTCTCTTAAGTCTGTCACCTCTCAAAGAATTAAAAAAAATGGAGCAGAGCTCTCAAAATAAAAATAACCTAACATGGATAATACCTACTTTTTTTGTCATTTCTCTCCTGCATCAGGTTAAGTAGTACCTGACACATCTACAGCTATAAAACAGGTTTCTCCTCTCTTGACTATGACTTATGTGGTTTCCTTTGTTTTATTAGAACAAAGAATTTTAAAGTCTCAGTTTCAACTGGCATATTTCCAGCCATTAAAAATGTATTCTAAGCAAATTATTCTAAAGCCCTTAAGACACTGATGCAAAAAAGTAATGCATTCTTAAACAGAGTTAGCCAAGGGCTGATCTAGGCCACAAAATGAATTCCAGAAGCGCTGATGGAGAAAAGCCAAACACAAAAAGCAGTGAAGGTCAGCAGAGCAAGGAAGACGAAGGGTCTTTCTTACAGAGGATCTTCCAGTAAAGCAACTGGGCACTCGATACAGGATAGCGAAAGAAGAAGAGGGCAGAGGAAGAGAGGAAGAAATGGTAAAGATGGAATAAAAACTACAGAAGTGGCAGTCAGCATGTAAACAGCTCAGCTCGCTAGTGAGAAGTGGAGCCTGAAAAAAGAAGAGCTTATAACAGAATGAGAATATACCACCAGGGCTGGGAGATGGGTATCTCAAGCTTAATCGCTTCAGCTTATGCACAGGATGGGGCAAAGGCAGAGGAGCACAGAATACGGCCAAGAGGATGCAGCAAAATAAGACTGGGTACTGCGTTAGACACAGACACACCGGTAGCAAAGGATCTTGTTGTTAAGCAACTTTCAGAGCAACACAGATGTTTTGCCCTTATTCTTACCACTAATATATTTGCAGAAGGTTAAGAAATTAAGCATAACTAAATACCTCCAGTCAATCAGGAAAAGCACTGGGGTAAGACTCTGCTTACAGAGGTTCCTTCTGTGCTCCCAAAGGGACATTTGATCCCTTATTTCATTCAATACAAGGTTGACTGAGTGACAAGCTTAACTTGGCATTTTGGTGCTTTCAGATGCCCACTGATTCAGTCAGGAAGTTTTGTGACATAAACAATCTATCTACGGCCATTAAATAACACTCCAAGTGGGTACTTGGAAGTACAACTATGGAATGCAACTCTTACACGAGTACCAGTAACGGAGTATTTTTATAAACATTAAGCCTGCCACAAACTGTGAGGCTCAGTATTTCTCCTATATTAATGCGTCATTTAGATTAGCCAATGACTGCACCCAGGTTTATTAATTAATTCCATTCATGATACCAATGCCCAGATACTTAATTGCTTCTGTTGCCAGTTGGAAATCCTCAGAGTTTAAGTTATTGCTTAGCAAGGGTAAACTTCATTAGTCTTCTAAAAGCTATTTGCATTGCTGAAGTATTCTTCACCGTGGCAGAAGAGAGCACCATTTTCTCCTCCTGTCGTATAATTATTTAGATGAGATATATTCCACCAAAAGCAGGCAGCAGGAGTTTCTGGAAGACAGCAAAGGCAACAGGACCAACCCTCACCTAGAACGGACAGCTACACAGAAGGCTACACACAGATGCTGATCAAACATGAAGATCCCCCCAACCTGCCTCTAATCTTAGGAAGACACAAAATAAGTCTTTCCCATCTCACATCATACAACCACTGGGGTTTTTTTATCTACATCTTTTCTACCCTTGACGTCTCCTCTACCTTTGTGTGGGCTTCCCAGCTCTGGCATCTGACGCTGCTCAAAGCGTATCTTACAGAATCAGTCTGAAATAACGCTGGTCAGAAACCACCTGAGAAGTCCTGTCTGTCTTCATGCTAAGTAATGGAAAGGGTAAATTCACATACAGGCACCGCTATATTAATCCCTTTTTGCAAGGTTCCTCAGCATCAGAAGTTCAAGAAATGTGTCTTGAAATGAAAAGGTTGGAATTTTTTTATTACTGATAAGAGATGTGGTGCTGCTTCCCACATGTCAGTCAAGAAAAGCTGGGGCATTTAGACAAGGCTCTAAATGACAAAAAGAAATACAAGTCAAAAACTCTTTTGGTTTTATTATTGCTCTTCCTTTAATTATGGTTCTTCCTCTTAACACCGCATCAACTCTCAGTTACCTAGCCCAAGAAGCCACATTTTTTCAATTGCTCCTTGATTCAGCCTATTACATCTTTAATGCCTTAACTGTAAAGAAAAATAATTCTAAGAAAACAAAAAGAGGAAGATGTCCTTCATGTTAAAAACTTCACTGACAGACTGCAGGAGAGCATCCCTTACCGCATTCCTTTCTCAAATGGCAACGGAGTATCCTGGCTTCATTGACAGACCACCCAAGGTTAAGCAGAATATTAGCAGACACACATTCCTCATTAGAGTCATCTGTCATTAAAGGGACAGTAATTCTTTGTGATGCTAAAAGAGCTACACTCAGGACCTGTTGGACCCCTCAGAGACTAACTGTGCAGCACAGAAGAGTTTCATAGCACAAGAAAAGCACGGTTGCTTCACTAACTGAAGGAAAACAAGCATCATCAGTCATCCCTACGACAGACTAACTGCACCAACAGAACTGGTTACACAAAGCACCTCCCTAACCTGCTTCCCATTTAAATACCACTCCAACATTTAATAAATCAAAGTCACTTACTACTAAGTATACATACTCAGAAGCATGCAGACATTTCTCTCTGTAGTGCATAAATTACATTTTCAGTGACACTTGGCATATTCGATCCCCATGACCTGGCTACATGGGTTACATATTTACCCTTTATTACTAGTTCATTATACATACTGCTACTTACTGTAATAATCCAGGATGTAACTACCTGAATAATCCAGGATGTCATTACAAACATTTTTTTTTTCACCTACGCTTAAACTCAACTAATCACTCAATTTTGTGAAAGACAAAAGGAAATTTGCAGTTTCTCATTCCTCAGTTATTTAAACACAATACCTATTTGAGAGTCTGTTTAAACTCCTACAGGTGTCAGTATGAAGTATTTTCTACACCGAACATATCAGTTTTGTTCCTCCTCTTATTCAACAGCTGTATGCCAAATAATTAAAGTAACACCTTAAGCCTGGATGTACATTTTACCTTTACAGACATTGTGGATTTATTTCATGGCTCATATAAGAAAGGAATACTTAAATATGTACAATTCTATTTAGTGCTTTATAAATTTATAAAAGACAGAGGACACAGAGCAAGGAAAGAAAAAAATAATATTAAAAACCACAGGAAACAAGTGTCTCCAGATTGATAAGGACTGGGGAGATCACAGACCAGGCTAGACCAAAGAAGCTGCTGTCTCCTTTATCTCATTTCTATCAGCACTCTCATTTGAGCAAGGTCAAGCCTGGCCAGAGTGCCAAGGAATAGCCAAGTATTCCAGGAGCCAAAAATCGCTCCCTGAAATCACTCCTGACCTAGCATTCCGCTTACCCTTAGTGGCTCTTTGCTGCAGGAAGCACCCTCCTCCTGATGAAAAGCAAAGCTAACAACCAGCAATTTGGCTGTTAAAAACAGAGGTGAATCTGCTGCAGGAGGGAGGTATTAACTCTGTGACTTTGGGAGAGCTTTACGTAGGACATGATGTTCTACCTACTTTACAATCACGCTGAGGATGTTTTAAATGGAAAACAACCCTGCTCACTTCCCTGCCTGAAAAGGGGCGTTATCCTGGCCATCCCCGCAGAGATGTTCAGGTCCAGCAGATAAAGAGGCACTACATAAGTGCAGATTATCAGCAAAACGTAGCATAAGACGACACTGTGCTGGATCACTCTGTTCTTCCTTTGCTTCAGCAACTCCTTTTAGCAGACATAAAGGTTTGACAGCTCTAGGAATAGCCAGAACAATTACCATCATCTTCCCCCTGTTACATTAAAACTAGAGCCTCCTAGCCACAACACAGGTCAGCGGAGACCCAGCAATAAATCACCTAAATACCGGAATAGAATTTAGACGGGTTTTTAGCGAATGCTTTATTTTCAGACTGTAATTGCAGCCACAAGCTTGAGTGACACCGCCAGTGCCCCGCTGCTTCCACATTTTGAGGGAAGATAAGAGAGTCCTTGATTTATTTCAAACACGGCACAGGCCCAGGGTTCAGTGAGGGCCACCTCAGGCAGGCACAAATACCCCCTTTCTCCTCACAGGTATGGAAAAAAGCTTTGAGCTTCATTGCTCAGAGTAGGTGTGCTCAGACTCTGGCCCTTAAAAACATCATGAGTCTTGTGTGCAGCTACCTTAACACCAAAAGATGCGACCGTCCCCTTGTGCTCCTCTGCTATGTTTCATATGCGAAGCAGTCAGAAGAACACAAAGAAAACCAGAGTAGCAGCCCCTGGCCAAGCATGCTGTCCCAAGCAGCCCTCCCAGAAGCTGAAAGCATGACATTTTCATCCAGGTTGGTAGAGTCAACAGATTTCTCTTTGCACAACACCACAGACATGTGTGGCATCACCACACAGGGGGAAGCCGGGAAGCAAATCCCATCAAGGGGAAACAGCTCATGCTGAGGGCAGCTACAGAGGAAAACTCTTCAGCCCTGAGCTTTTTCGCGTCTCTCTGGCTTCTCACCGCAGCAAAGAAGCTCCACAGGGAGTCAGCAACAGCCATTCCTTCCATGCGGCAGAAGCAGGACAAGCAATAATGCTTTGCAGATCTTAAACCCATCTGCAGGTACTTACCACAGGACTAAAGCAGCATGAAGCCTCAGGCAAAAAAGAAGGAAACCAAAATATGTATTACCTCTGCCAAAGGAATCTGGCGCTTGCTGTGGCTGCAGTCGTCCCTATGAAAGCTGCTGCCATGAGCCTACGCCTGGTCCTGGGGTGATGCGCTGTCCCATGGTAACGCCGCGAAACAGCAGACAGCCCTGCTGCAATGGGAAGAAATCGGAGGCGAAACATCCTGTTGAATAAGAAGAGCACATTAGTAAAACAACAAACTGTTTCCAGTTGTGGACTTTCACGCTGATCCTCAACCAGATGTTTGCTCGCATTTTTTTCCTAAAATAGGAAAGTTACAAAAAATAACTGGCACAGATGTTTATCAGCTGTTATGAAATAGGCATGTAACCTGTCTAAAAAATAGCAAATTATGAGTTTTACATACTGACATACACCTGGCTGACACACCTTGCTGTCACATCCCAACTACTTAGCTGCTTTTACAATGTTTTTCAAATTCCTCTTCAGCCTTTCGCCAGCACGCTTCATTAAGAGGAAATATTTGCACACTCCCGCTCAAATGCCAAGGCACAGAAGATGCAGGTAGATCTGAAAAGCAACTACAGCAAATAAGAGCCATTTGGCCAGAGGGAAAGACACAGCTGGATTTTAAAAGGCAAATTAAACAAAATAACAAGCAAACCAACCAAACAAAAAACCCAACGCAGTCATTTTAAATTTCCTTAAGAAAAACCCCCACTGTTACTAAATCACTTTTTTAGCTAGCCTGGAGCAAAAACATTTATATTCAACTTTAAGTAGAAGGCAAGTTTCAAAGTGTCAAAACTTGTAAAATACAGTCCATACCCCATTACACACACAACAGAGACAAATGGGAAACCAGAGCTACAAATCTAAACATTGTTACAACGGAGAAATCTAAACCGCAAAAGTGTCACCTCAAAAATGTCACCTCGTCACACACACCAGCTACAGGAGACAAAGCAATTTTTGCTAGCTCACAAGATTGCACGTGAAGGGTAAAAGTTGCCTTTGCAAAGAGAAAGTGCTGCATCTTTTAGTGAAATAAAGGTTTTGTTTCTAACTGACGCAAAGTCAATCTTCCAATTGCGGGGTCAACCTAAAAAAAAATTGGGAATAAAGTGGTAAAAGAATTCCCAAGGTCAGCAAAAACATTGGAAGTGGGGAGCAGTGGCCCAATTTTTCCCTTTGGTTCCCCATTCTTGCTCTTCAATTCAAACATTCCCAGCCAGCAAATAACCACAGAATGCAAAAATAAAGTTCCATCTATTGGTTTCTACTTGTTTTCGCAACTCAAGATGCCACCGCGCCAATCTGCTAAACCATTAACTTCCAACAATGAGAATCTTGGGACCATTTTGTGCAGACACATCTCATGTTTGTGGTGTGTTACCCCATTTCAGCTAAAAAAATGCCCATTTCTGCCGATTAAAGGAACACGCAGCTCAGGATTTCATAACGCAAACCGGTGATGTGAATTTAGGGAGGGGAAGAGAGGAAGAGGGAGGGAAGACGCACATAAAATATTCAGCAGATGATTCTGAGTGCCAGAGCTGAGTATCTTTTCAGGCAAGAGGCAGTGGAGGTGCATCTGAAGAATTCACAGCACGGTCAAGAGATAGGTGGCGAGGGGAAGGAAAGCATAGATAATGAAAAATCATTAGCAAACCCTTCTATCGGTGATTTTTCGTATCAGATCTAAGGCTTTTGCACGGTCCTGGGACAACAGAGATGGGATGGAGCGACGGCAGGCTGGGACGGAGGTGGCAGAGCCACAGGGTATCTATCCCTCACCACCCCGGTTTATCGGTGCTCACAGCTAGCGCATCAGAATAGCATCCATTTTATATTCATCTGTGCACGTATTAAAAACCAAGTTTGCAGTCAGCATAACCATTTTGTTTATTCCTTTAAAAATAAATAGGCTTAAAATTAAAGTTTTAATGGAATACAGCCAGCCAACAGCGCTTATTCTCCCAATTTTCTCCAGCTCTGAACAATAGAATTGTTATGAGAAAAAGCTCTTATTTCAAATTTAAAATTATTTTCATCCTACACAAACCTGATGTTCCCATTTCATCTCCAGGGATGAATTTCTGTTCCATATGCAGAGAAAAATCTGCAAGTGTTATTTTCACCAAGAAGCTAATGTTGCCCTTAACTTGGGTTCCCCATCCTAATTACAGCTTTATATGCGTAAGATGTAACGGATGAGGGAAGAGTTGCCAGTATCATTTAATCTGCCAAAACAAAAATCAAGCCCCACAGTGCTTACTTTTGAGCTCAGAGAGATTTTTACAACATTTCAGATTGTTTGCTTTAGGACTGCATAAATATTTGCTCTGCCTGAGCCCTAAGAAACACTAAATTATCTTCTTTGTCCAAGTAATCTCCATCCTTGGTGGTGCTGGGACATTCACCCAGACAGCGCTCACTTGGTAGCAATTGCCCAAGAGCGCTGAAAGCAGGCAGCTCCCATAATAACAACCCTAAAATAAAGAGCATCTTACCTTATCTCAGAACAAAAAACAAAACCGAAAACCAAACAAACCCAAAACACTTTGGAAGCTGAATTTTCCATGCTTTCCATCTGCAACTCTACAATCTCTCACAATTTTTTTTTTTTTTTTAAATCAAAAGCACCGTGATACTTGGTATGTTTGGTTAAAAGCTCCATGCATATAAGTCAAGATCACTCAAGAAAGCTGTTGCTCACTTTTAAAAAGATTAAAAATAAGCACCTTACCCTAACTGCAGCAATGAAAACCTTAACACCACAATCTGCAACAGCATAAGGAATATAACTGCGATGAAGTATAAAACTCCCAAGAACTGATGTGATTACAGCTTGCGATAAGAAACAACCTCAATTCTTGCATGATTTAATGCAATAAAGGCGTTTTTGTTTTCTGCTTTTTTACAGGATACAACAAAGCAGCTCAGAGAAAAACAACTTAACTCCAAAATAATAAAAATAAGGATCAAACATAAAAGTTGTCATGATGTTCTAGCATTACTGCTACAAGGTATCTATAACTCATAGTTCTGTTTTTAAGATATAAGGCAGTCTTACCTTATGTTCTTGCTCAGAACAGCCCTACAGTTACTTTTAGAGGTTGAATTAACATCCTTGGACAAAAGAAATAGTTTGGGCTTTTTTTTCCTGAAAAGAATGATATATCTGCTTTTATTTATGCCACAAGACATGGGTATTATTTTTTTTTTTAAGCTGAAAAGTCAACAACAGACTTGAAGATTAAAAAACAAAAGTTTTGTTGACTGTCTGCTCCACCAGTAAATACAAGCTGCTCCACCAAACCCCTACCCTCAAAAAAAAAACCAACAAAAAAAAATCCACCTCACCCCACACTCCAACCAAAAAAGATCTGACACCCCATCCTGGTACCCATCTCTCTCTGTCCACTTTGGCACCAGGTTTTTGTGCCCCAGCTCCATGGTTTAAGGTTTATTTCTCCCCCAGCAACTCTCATAGTAATCAGGTAAGCGCTCAGGGCCCTGCTCTATGCCTACATGCAGCTGGCACGGTGGAAAAGCCTAAAGCCTCATGTATTTGTAATTTAGCATTAAACGTGTTAGCGTCTTTGACATCCAGGAAACCCACAAACCCATTAGGAAAGCACCACTTCCGATCTGATACATGATGGGCATCATTCAAACTGAGGACATCCAGATCACTTTAAAAGAAGAAAGGCAAAATTATTTTAACAGCCATATACCTTCTGGCTTGATGTGGGTATTTTATTTCCCCAAACAACGCTCCTCTGTTTGCTAACCTGTTTTGCAATGAAATCCAGACAGGCTCTCTGCTTCTCTCCCCTGCCACGTCCAAAGCACCCGCAGTCCAGCCCTGCATTTTTTCAGTGCACAGAAGAATCAGTAGATCCCAACTCTCTTGCATCCTTTTTCAGATTCCAAAAGAAAAGAACAAAAACACTTGCTCCCATTTTTCCAGCACCCTAATTAGCTGATGGTTTCAAGACTGAAAGCACCAAGTAGCCCAGCCCAGGGAAAAGGGACTTCTTCACACTTGGGTACCCCACAGCACTCAATTTTTTGTTGTTCTTTTTGACAATCCAGAACAGATTCAGATTTTAAGATGAAACACGCTTGAAGCAGCTTTTTGATGTCAAAGCTGGCCTCGGTGGCACAAGCATGCAAGAGGGAAAACAGTAACAGAATAAGCTGATGGGTGTTTAATTTTTAATCGGAGAAGGGTTCACAGACACTTTTTATTTGAACAGTTTTACTAGGACATGGTAAGCTTGCGCATTAGTGCAAAATGTCAATTGTAAATTTAAATGAAAAATATTGTTATGTAATAAGACTCTCTCAAAGAAGAATTGCATTTACAAGGCATTGCTTAGGCATAAAGACTTCTGCAGGGACTGGCGGAGATGGAGTCACTAAGAACTGCGTGAGCTTTCTGGAGCCATATGTTTATTAAAAAGCCAAGTTTGACGTTGCCAGAGTGCACCAAGACATCCTGATCCAGCAGCGGCTGTTGGAAAATTCCTCACCTATTTCCATCTCAGCCCCTGACTGTCAGTTATACCTCAACCCTGCTCACTGAAGACAGCAACATCGGCTCCAGAAGGTGTGAGGTGCCCTGAAGCAGAGAGCCCAGATGCAGAAGAGTGCGGGGTCTCAGCTCCCAGCTCTCCTGTCTCCATCTTCAAGAGGATTATTGGAAAGAAGGGAAGGAGAAATCACAATGAGGAAAAAGTACAATAAATAAATCCAATGGGAGGGAAAAGTCAAGACACAAACGAAAGAGCAAAGTAATCAGGAGAAAAGTTTCACCATTAACACTAATATATACTTAAAATAACCTGAGATACATAAACCTGGGGGAGAAAAAACCTCTAAGCATCAAACCTGCCTCCTCCAAGATTGAGTTACTAATTTTGACTTCTCTTCCCCCCAGTTCTCCATACTTTCCATTTATAAACTGGTACCAGGAAGCGAGATTTTTACAAGGGTAATTCATACAAAAGGTGCCCAGAGGTGGATTCCAGTTACTGAGGCATCTGGATCTACTCCTTCCCCCATTCCCAAGAAAGACCAAACTGCTCCTGCTCTTTTCCCCTCCTGTAACTCCAAATTTTCACCTTACCCAGAGCAATTTTCAGATAAAGGATTACTCACATTACTGAAGTTATTAGCTTACTAAGATGCAT